CCATTTCGCTCTTCCCCCAGCCCAGGCAACCACAATTCAATTTTCTGCCTGAACTAATTTGATGGCTCTAGGTACCTCCTATAAGTGTAATCATACAACACTTGTCCTTTTGTGTCTGGCTTATTTCACTTAGCATAATGTCCTCAAGGTTCATCCATGTTGCAGCATGTGTCAGAATTCCCTTCCTTTTGGAGATTGAGTAATATTCCATTTACATGTTGTTTCTCCCTTCATTTGTCGATGGACTTTTGAGTTGCTTGCACCTTTTGGTTATTGTGAACAGTGCCGCTGTGAACTTTTCTGTATGGATATTTATTAGAGTCCTTGCTTTCACCAAGGGATATATTACCCAGGAGTGGGATTGCTGAGTCATGTGGTAAGTCTATATTTATATTTGGGGGGAACTGCCAGACTGTCTTCTGCAGCAGCTGCAGCATTTTACATTCCCACCAGCAACACACAGGCGTTCCAATCCCTCCATGTCCTCACCACCACTTCTTCCTCCTCCACCTTATCCTCCTCCTCCTTCTTCATAAAAGCCATCCTTAATGAGTGTACATTTTACTGAGTGTACATTTATCTTTTCTTTTTTATGTGTTATAAAAATTCACAATTTACATGATTCATTCATTCATTCAATCAATCAATCATTCCCTTAATTTCTTCACCTATCATAAATATAAGAGGTTTGACTGAATATCTTGCCAAAACTTTGCTTAGTGCTCTGAGTATGACAAGTAATGCTGCATTTTCATGTTTTTAGCGAGTTCATCTTAAAATTTTTATGCAGCCCATGTGGGTGTTTGCTGGACACAGCACAATCAGAAACCGAGAAGGAGGAGGCAGTAGGGATGAGAAGCGAGGATAAAGGGAATTGTTCCCACACTAATGGGATCAAGTCCTCCACTCCTGGGCCTGGGCCTATGAATCAGATCTGGCTCCACCCACACCTCTGGCAGCGTGGGCCCTGCCGCGTGGCAGGCCCTCAGAGGGCTGCATTGCTGAGAGGACTGGGAGCTTCCTAGGAGATGGACAGCCACTAACCCACCTGTGCATCCTCAGCACGTGGTCAAGAACAACTCATAGCAAATGCTCAACAGGTTTCCCCCCTAAAACTTTGCCGACATTTAATTAAACTAGTTGAAATGAATAATTAACACTTACACAAAGAGATGAAGCAGTAAAAAAAGCAAACTAAATTTCTTGTCAAAATAACTTTATCTGCAGATTTTATAAAACTTTTCTCTGTGATTTTAATTTATATGCTTGTATTGGTAATAGCTTCCTTGGTCTCCCACAGCCCAAGGCTCTCCCAGGGCTGCTGTGAATGTCGATTTGCATCTAAACCCCTAATTGCTGGTCTCTGTCTGCAGATGTGGCTCCAGTGGCTGGACACGCTGGCCGCTGCCAGAGCTGCTGTCAGTGATGGATGGCCCTGCTTGCTGGCCAGCCACCCAGGGGCCAACGACTTCCAATAGAAAACGTGCCTGATGAGGAGGAACTCTGTAGTTGCCAAACTCCCCAGCGTTGCCTCTGCTTCGTATTTGGGCCCATTTTTGTTTATTTTTGAGGCAGTATCAGAGATGCACTAATTAGGTCTCAATCATCTCCTCAGGCTCCCTTCCTTCGCCCAAGCCTGGCTTCAATTAGTCTCCACACACACCTTGTTCTCTATCCACATCCATTATTATTCTATTAAAGGCTAGCTTCTGGAACAGCCTACAGATGTCTCCATTGGGCCTGGTCTGGAGGGGAGAGAGAAAGAAGAAGTTATTCTGAGGATCAAGATGTGTCCTGCGGGCTCTTTGGGGACTATTAATGATAGGAATGGTGTTTTCATTTCCCCTTTAAGTCCCCTTCCCTGCTATCTTCCGCCTTCCAGATCTCACCCTGAAGCACATTGGCCCAGGAAGGTGAGATATTGGCATTCTAGGACACACAGGTCTCTGATCAAAGCTCATGTTCTCAACCCTTTAGGGATCAGGCATCAGCTATCAGGCACAGTCTGTAGGATTCCCTGTCAGGGGGTGTGAGGAAGGGGCAGAATCCCGGCCTGGTTGGCACGGCGAGCTGCGTATCGTGTGTATGGCTCCATCCTCTGAGAGGGGGCTATATCTTCTAATTCTCACAGAGGCACCACGGACTCAGGAGGTGTGTTGGAGGAAGGATGACGGCATTTATAAGCTCCCAAGCTGCCCATTTTAGAGAGAAAGAAGGACACTTTCCATAACTTTGTAAGTTATAAGCAGAGAGAGAACTCAGATTTTACAGTGAGGGCATTCCCAACCAGACTGCAAGTGGGCCAAGAGACTCGCCTCTCCTGGGTGTGAAGCTGGTGAGGAAGGGGCTGAAGGGAGAGCAAGGCAACCAGGACTCAGGCTCCACAGCCCACTGTTGCTGTAAGGCTGGCCTTGCTCAAGTTAGAGGGCATCCAGGAGCAGGACGGAGAGAACATGTAGGAGCTATTGCCACAGGGACACCATCCACTAATGTCTTGAAGGGCCCCGTATCTACCTGGGAGTCTCTAGAGCACTGGTTCTCAAACTTCCTAATACAGTTCCTCATGTTGTGGTGACCCCCAACCATAAAATTATTTTCGTTGCTACTTCATAACTGTAATTTTGCTATTGTAAACAATATGTAATTATATATGTGTTTTCTGATGGTCTTAGGCGACCCCTGTGAAAGGGTCATTCGACCTCCAAAGGGGTCGCGACCCACAGGTTGAGAACCGCTGCTCTAGAGCAAGCATGTCAAACTCAAAGGCTAAAGTGGACCAAATAAATGAGGCATGCGGCTCACAGACCGCAAGTTTGCCCTGCTTGCTCTGGACTAGAGCCTTCTCTAATTGGCCACCCTGCCTACAGGCTGTTTTGCAAACATAATGGGCATGCTTTTGCCTTTGCACTTGCTATTCCCTTTGCTTAGATGAGTCTTCCATCAGATATTCTCATGACCTACCCCTCACCAATCCTAGGTGTCTGTTCAAATCTTTCAAATATCATTTTCTTGGAGAAGGCCTCCCTGATCAGCCTATTGAAAACAGCACCCTCCTGCTCCAATAGTCCCCATCACCTTCCTAGATATTTTTCTGAATAGTATCTAAAATCCTCTAACACTGTGCATTTCTCTCTCTCTCTCTCTCTCTCTCTCTCACTCTCTCTCTTTCTCTCTCTCTCTCTCTGTTTATTGTCTGTTTCTCCCACTGGGGACTTCGTTGTGTTTGCTGCTAAATCTGCAGTGCCTACACCAGTGAGTGCCATGGAGTGATCACTTGACAGATTTGTGTTGAATTAGCACCTGAGTGAAGGAGGCCCCGAATTCTTGGGAGAGCCCCCCTTGTCTCCATGTGAGACCCAGCACAGCTGTAGGACTTTGTTTACTGAGTGTTTGCTTTGAACAAAGGAATACAAATTTCAATGTTTACAGAGAGCTGACCATGTGCCACGGGTGATGATCAGGTCTGAACAGTCCTCCGGACTCCTTGTAACCTAGGCCGGGGCACACTGGCCTGGGAGCTCACACGTGCCCAGCGAGAGCATGTGAAGTTCCATGTGGACTAGCAACAACCTGGTGCCTGGGAAGGGGAGGCACCGAGGGCTGCACAGCGCGGAGTCCGGTGGTGGCAGCAGAGTGCGCTGCACAATGACCCCAGGAGTGGCAGCTTCCTTTGCCCCAGGACCTTTGCTCACCCCTGGATCACCATCGGGAGAAGAGGGAGTGGTGATCGGAGGGAGGAGCTGAACTTGGAACCGACGCTTTATTAAAAGAGACTATTTAATCCTGGAACAAAAAGAGAGGCTGTTTACTGGAAAGCCGGTGACTTTCTCCACTCTCTCTCTACTTACCTGTGACTTACCTATGGGTGTAAATGTGGGCCCACTGACTATGCTTGAGAAGAGCCTCGTGCAGGGGTGTCCTTGCAGCCAGGCGCCTACAGGGTTTCCTTCTGAAGCTGCCACTTAGATGTGGTTCAAACAGCCACTGGCCTACTCCCTCGTGCCTCCCCAGGGCCCGACTTTCCCGGCACAGCCTGACAACTCACCCGGTTTCTCCCTCGGAGCATTGCATGGGATGCCCAGGGCTTCGGGGCTCCCACCCATGGCTCTGAAATGAGATGGAAACTTGGAAAACAGTGACTGTCCTCAGGGCGGAGAGGACGTGCACTGTGAAGGCAGAGCAGCGGCTCTGGGCTGCCCTGGGCAGGACAGACTTCCAGTTCACTCTCACAGGAATGGAATCTCAGCAACTCAAGACACAGTGGATGTGAATGCTTAATTGCAGTACAAACCCGACCAGTTAAAGATTTAAATGGTAAGCATACTTTCTGCTACAACGGAAGATGCTTATAGAACAGCGGTCCTCAGGGGGGGCATTTGTCCTCGCCCAGGGAACGCGGCAGCGTCGGGCACTCTGGGTGGCAGGATCAGGGGAGAGGAGCGAGCGTGGCAGGGCTAGTCCTGGCTCCTGTGCACCGGGGCAGAGATGCTCCCAGCAACCGGCCTGCACAGGATGGCCGCTCAGGCGGCATGTCCCCAGCACCAGCGGTGCCAGGTTGAGAGCGCTGCCCTGAGGCAGAGCAGCCTACAGGGCCTCAGACCCTGTGCTTTCAATGGCGTCTCAGGGGTAGCCTGTGCATGAGGCGGGCGGTATCACTGCAGGGGTTTCACAGAGGGGCTGAGGCTCAGAGACCAGAGAGCCCCCACACCCCTGGAAGGAGGAGCGGGGGCAGGGCTCTCTCCATGGCCCAGCTCCAGTGGTGCTCATCAGGCACATGGACTTTGTTTACTGAGTGTTTGCTTTGAACAAAGGAATACAAATTTCAATGTTTACAGAGAGCTGACCACGTGCCAAGCAGAGGACAAAGTCCTGCTCTCAGGGAGGTTACAGTTTGGTTGGGAAACAGTTCACCACATGGTTCTAGAGGGCATGTCAGAGAGGACATGGCTGAGGAGAGCCAGGAGGGATGGGGGAGGAACTGGGAAGCAGTTCCAGGGAGAAGGACCAGTAGTGCAGAGGCCCCGAGGTGAGGTGGGCAGGTGTGCTGGCAGCTCTGTGTGGCCATCTGGAGAGAGCACAGGACCTGAGGCCGCAGACACAAGTGGTGGCTGGGAGAGGAGGCAGATCACAGAGCCACGTCATGGCCATGTGAAGGACCTTGGCCTTCGTCAGAGAATGCGGAGCCACTGCAGGCTCTGAGCAGAGGTGTGGTAGAGTCTTTCAATTTTAACTGGGTCACTGGCTATCCCATGGGAGGAATATACTGAAGGAAGGAGGCAATGAATTTGCCCAACTTCATTTTTGCTAGTTGTTCTAAATTCCTCAACTACTTTTTAAAAAAATATTCTGTGACTGAGGAGGAGAGTGTGGTTGTGCAGGAGCTCACTGGACAGGAGAGAGAAGTGCGACCAGGAGAGAAGGTCTATACAGAGAGGAGGGTGCAGGCAGAAGAGCAGGGTGCTGGCCACCCCTCACCCCCACTAGCAGGGGCTGGCGCCAGCGGTGCCCATAGAATTCAGTGTCTCAGGGCATCCTACCGCCCCTGGGGATGAGGGGGTGAGGAGGGAGGGAAAATCAGAAAATCATTCTCTGCTTAGTTTTCCCCTCATCATGGTTTCTTTGTCATTCTTTACCTGTTTTAGTAAAAATTTCAGAGCCTGTTTGTGTTCATATATAAGCCCCTGAACTCGGGACTCTCAGGGGCCCTGTCTAAACATTCTGTAACTAGTATTGATGCTTGCTCAGAGAGCCATGTCCTCACCTCAGTGGGGCAAGGCTTTTGAGCAAAAGCTAGTAAATCATTCTTGAGGTTTTGGAATGAAGAATTGGATTTCCTTCTTATCATGAAACCAAAATGTAGGACAGTGAAGTCAATCCATTTTTATTTCATCAGAATAAAACCAGTTGGGACATATGTATGAGTCTGGTCCTCAGAGTGGGGGAGAGAGGAGGGAGATCCCATGTTCTCAGGGGAGGGTGTGGGAACCGTGCTGGGCCCCCAGGTCTGTGGGGTGTGCTCACCTTCCTTCTGAGAACAGCGTGGCTCTGAGGGAGAGACATCACAGCCAATGCAGCAGGAAGCCCAGGGCAGACTCCTATGCTTCTTGGTCAGCTTTGGCCCCAATGCGCAGTTGATATGCAGAGTTTCAGGAGGAAACGGGATTAACACTGTATATGAAAATGGGGAAGTGGCAGTAAAAGTCCAGATTTCCAGGTTTCCTGGAACAAATCAGAACATCTTCTGAAGATGACACACCTTCCAGTATGTGGACAACGACACGAGGTGAGAGGCAGCCCACACATCAGTCCTTCAGCCCACAGCGCCCTGTCAGGTCCCCAGCTAAGGGCGAGGGGTACCCCAGTGTTCATTTATCATCACACTTCCATTGTTTCTCCCTTATCCTAGAGGAATATTTATCTGTATTCATGTTTCTATTAAAAGTGAGAAGTTAAAAGAGGCACAAGTTTCCAAAGGCTGGTATGGGTGGGAAGGATGGGAGCCCCCAGGTCTTGGGGCACATCCTGGCTCCCTGGGTTTTCCCGCTGCCCAGCCCCGCCCCACCAAGCCTTTGTTCTGAAGTGCCATAGCTCCAGTGGCCGTGTGATGAGATGCCAACGCTCCCTCAGTGGAAAACTGAGGTCCTGGCATAGGACTTTACAGAGCACAGGGTCCTGGCTCAGGAGTACACCCAGACCTTGTGCAAGGCTTTCAAAGCAAAGCAAAGGGGCCTGGAGGATATTTGCCTAGTAGCTTCAGCCTTGCAGTTGAAAGGGAACCAGCCTCGCCCACAAGCCACTAACTGGCCCTCCTATGACACCAGACCACATAGGATGAAGAGTATAGACCCCCCACCAGCCTCAGTTTCTTCCTCTTGTACTTGCAGACTCTCATCTTGGTTCTTCCAAGCTCCCTGTTCCAGTGGGTCACCAAATGAGTAGGCACAGGAGGATTCTGTGAATTTCTACCTAACAAGAGCAATTCCTGGGAAACAGGTTTCATGCCGAGGCTGCTGAGAAGTCAGGGCTGCGGGAGGGGCCGCAGTGTGGCTGGTCCCTTCTGTGGAGGACAGAGGCTTGTAAGTGCTCTCGGGGCTCTGCTGCTGAGTCTTCAGGTGGATCTTTGTGTACGAATTCCCCAGGAGAGAAGGCAAGGCATTGGTGTTGTTCTAGTGCTTTGCAGTTTCCAAACTGTTTTTCGGGACATTTTCTCCTTTGCCTCTTAACCCACCCTCATGAGACTGACGGATAGGGACAGCTTCCTGAATTCGAAGGACCAGGTAGTTACAAACCATGTCTATTTGAATGGAGAGCATGGCTCCGTTTTTTTTTTGTGTGTTTTTTTTTTTTTTTGTCTTTAATTGCTTTAAGCTAATGTATAGAAAGAGAGTGCACTGCTGATACGCTCGACCTGCAGCGGGTGCTGTGGGCTCCAACCCGCAGTCACCCTGGTGTCTAGGGAGCTAGCTGCAGTACATTGTGACTTCCTGCTGCTCCCTGGGCCCCGAACCCGCTCTGCCCCAGGCCCTGTGTGGGCTCTTGCATTCGCCTAGCCACAAACATGTGGCTATCTCTTACCTACGTTGTATATTTCCTAAACCTTTAACTTCTAATAAAATTTGCCCTTCCTTTGCTGTATTTATTGTGTTGGATGGAAGCCACAAGGACAGAAGGGGTTTAGAAAAGCAAGTCCCCAAGTTTAAGCCCTATTCTCAGCCCTGTCCTGCTCTCCAGCCCCAGGGCACCTGTGTGGGGGGGGACAAGAGAAGCGGGGGTGGGCAGGAGAAGGGGGTGGCAGATCTGCTGCATGCCCACAGCTCTGTCCCATTTGCCTCCCTCTGTTCAGACAGGGTCTCCAGCATTTCCAGCAGGGCCCCAGTTTATCATCTCTGACTTTTACAGCAGGAAGATCTGGGTGTTGGGGAATCCTGCGCTGGAAAATCAGATTGGCTGATTTTCACAGGGACTTACAAGGCAAGTGGAAAAGACCCAAGCGACTAAATACCCAGAAGGTATCTGAGGATCAATAATGCAGTCATCACAGCTAACCATGGAAGGGCACAGCACACCTGAGGCTGTTGGTTGCCTCTTCACAGAGCCATCCTCACTGGCCTGGAATGTATGGCAGCCCTTGCTTCAGAGGACGCACTGAGGCCAGAGCTCTGTGACTCTCAGGACCCCTGACAGCTTGCCCTGGGGACACAAGGCCCAGGCCTGTTTCTGGACAATGACTTTCTTCTTCCTGCTTCCTTCTCCCTCTCTCTTCCTTCTTTTTAAATACTAGTAACAGCCTTATTGAGGTCTAATCCACATGCCACACAGTTCACCTTCCTAGCATGTATCATTCAATGGTTCTAGTATGTTCACAGATATGTGCCACCATCATCACCACAGTCAATTTTTAAGAGATTTTCATCACTCTCCCCCAAAATCCCATACACATTAGAAGTGTTCCCCTTCCTCAATCCTGAACCCATCATTGGGCAACCGCAATCTGCATTTGTCTCTATGGATTTTCTCATCGTGGATATTTTATATAAATAAAACCATATAATATGCGATCCTCTGTGGTTGGCTTTTTTCACTTAGTATAATGTTCTCGAGGTTCTTCCATGTGGCAGCATGAGTCAGTCCTACATTCCTATGAGCCAGCAAGTCCATCCCTGGACATATACTCAAGAGAAATGAAAGTTTATGTCAGTGCACAAGCTTGCAGTATTGTTCACAAGAGCCTAAACGTGGAAACAACTTAAATATTCAAGTGATGAATGGATAAACAAAATGTGGCTCTCTACTTAATGGAATAATATTTGCAAAATTTAAAAATGAAGTCTGATACATGCTACAATGTGGTAGACATTATACTAAGTGAAAGAAGTCAGTCATAAAACACCTCTTATTATATGATTCCATTTATGTGAAATGACCAGAAAAGGGAAATCTCTATTAGGTAGGAAGTAGATTCAGTGGTTGCAAGGGGCTGAGGAGAGAGGGGGATGAGGGCCAGAGACTGCCAATGAGTACAGGGTTTCCTTCTGGGGTGATAAAAATGTCCTGGAATTAGATAGTAGCATTGGTTGCACAACCTGGTGTCTAAGTTAAAAATCACTGAAGTGTATATCTTAGAGGAAAAAGAGAAAATAAAGAAGATGAAGGGCTCTTGTCTTTCAAATAAAATAATATAGACCAATATTTCCTTGCTCCTCTTTGCTAAGTACAACTTCAGACTCTGCACAATAACACAGCAGGCAGCCCCAATGGGATTCTGAAAGGTGGTAAGAAGGAGAGCTGGTCTGAGAACCTAGCATTGGAGGAAGAACACAGTGGCAGGATGTCTTAGGTCCCCACCCAACTGGACACCCAGACCCAGTGTTTCCAACCCCACTTAGCAGCAGAAGACACCTAGGTAGGCTCTTTGCTTCCTACATCAAACACCTATGGGAACACCACATGCTAGGGTGGCCACTGGGAAGCCGACTACAAATAAACAGCCAGGGGCGGAACTCTCTACCCAATGCCTGAGATCTTCTCTCCACCGAGAGCCTGTATGGACATGGGGCTTGGACAAGAGGCACCTCCTTCTCCCACAGCTAGCCTCTTTGTCCCTGCGGGGCTGAGACCTGGTTTTCCCACTAGAGACACAGGGGCAGCCAGGTGTGACTACTAAGGGGGACTTGTCAAAACCAGGGCCTGGCAAGGTTCCTTGGGGCCTGAACTCACCTAGAGCCAGGAGAGGTGCCACACCCCACCTGGAGACACACCTTCACATCCTCAGGGGGCACCAGCAGGGCCCAGTGTGAACCCCTCAAAGCACCAAGTAAACAAGCAAGCCAAAAGGATATGGCAACCACAGCCCACAAAACGGGCCAGTGGTCTGTGCTAAAACCACAGGATGACTGGCTGCTAAAATAAATGATGTAAATAGATGCAGTCTCCTAAAATCCACCACTAGTCCACTCTGTAGCATGACTGAGCCCTGCACTGTCCCAGAGCACATAAGGAGTGCAAACTGCACTTCTTGTTGTATTTAAAATATTTCTCCAGATTGCAATATAACACATGCACACTGTAGAAAATCTAGAAAATTGGAAAAAAAGAAATTATAAATCACCTTCAATCCCACCACTCAGAGAATATATGTATTTAGTATGTATGTGTAGGTATCTATATTATCCAAATAACCTTCCCATCTCCATATCTTTATATGGAGAGAGAGAGAGAAAGAGAGAAAGAGAGAGAGAGAGAGAGAGAGAGAGAGAGAGAGATTTTTCTCTTATAGAAAATAACATAATTTTGTGTATAACATATTTATAACTTGCCTTTTTTGAATAAAATATATTCCTTCTCTAAATCATTATATGTTCTTTCTCCATCACTTTTAGTGGTTGGATAATTTTGGGGCCACTTGCTCTTGGCACAGTACACCATAGGTGCTTAATAAAGGTTGGTTGAATGACCGGTTAGAGCTCTGTGCTCAGACCAGGTCTAAAGCACCTGGTGATCCTCTTTCTTGGGCATTTCACTTGGCCCAGTTCGGCCCCAGAGAGGAAGAGGGCCGGGGTCCATGCTGGTAGGAAATCATCAGGGACCAGCTAGGATCATGGTTTGCATGTTGAAGGTTCTCTTTCAGGCATCAGTTCCCTCCAGTTTCTGAGTGGAGGCTCAGCCTTGGTCCCGCAATCCCACCAGGAAGGAGGGCCTACTTCTGGCTCAGCCAGACAAGGTTTGCTGTCATTGCCAGACAATTACAGTTCTGCTCTCCCATGCCAACTCCTTCATGCGCCTTTGGTCCATTGTGCTTTTGTTCATGTTGTTTTTTAGTTTGAAACATCCACCCTGCCTTTCTCGCTGCCAGACCCCCATCTGATAGCAAGACCCAGTTCCAGGGACATCTCCTCCGTGGACCTTCTCTGACATAATCTGGCACCTCCACGGACTCCCTTGCAGTTGGTGCAAGCATCAGACAGAAACCTTGGCCATCTGTTGGGCAAATGTGTCTCTGTGTCTATTGCACTCATTAGACTGCAAATCCCCAGCCAGACTCTTCCTCAGTGAATGCGTGTTGGAAGGATGAGTCGGCGGGGTGAGACTGCTCTGCCTCTGCAGAAGGGAAGAGGGCTTCACACCCCGCACCTCACCTCCCAGGTCTAGGGGTCTGGAGGCAGAGCGATGGCAGCTGCCTGGAGCAAGGCTGGTGCTGCCTGGAGGACATGCACCCTTGCTTTGCTGTGTCTAGGATGCCAGGGAGCTGCTAGAGCTGGGGAAAAGAAGGATCCTTTGGCATGTTTCCCAACCATGCTCTGTGAAAGGGAAAGTCGTCTTTATTGCATTTATTTATTTAGGGAAGGGGTTAGGGCACTTCATCTGGTGCTCACTTCAGAGCAGCTGTTCAGTATTACGAAGGAGAAAGACGAGTGACTTGTGCTCCTTGTTTCAAACCAGAGAATCCAAAGCCGTAGACACGATGGCGTCTCTTGTGACAGGCAGTTCCTGGATCCGGGAAGTTTCCTACCCAATGCCCGAGGTCTAAGTGGCAAGATTCATTTTTTCTTTTTACCCTGAGGCTCCACTTAGTCAACAAATATTTACTGGTGCTGATTCAGAGCTTGGTTTAGACAGGGGGCTGGGGGCTGCAGCTCAGAGATGCACCAGAAAGCAGCTGCCATATTGCAGTGGATTTTCCCATGTGGGAGAGAGCACGGGGGAGGAGGTTTCGTTGCAGTAACAGATACAGCTTTTGGCTGGCTTGAGCTGCAGAAGAATTTATTGGATGTATATGGGACACTCCCAGAATTCATGGGAAAGCTGGCAAACAAAACTCGAACTGACTAGAACCAAGGGAAGGCAGATAATGGAATCCACAGCCAAGGGAGCAGTTTTTGGATGACACCCCTGGGCCTTTGGCTGTTCTGAATATTTTCTCAAGTGTCTATGAATGTTTGTGTCACTCTCTCAAGATTCAAGGTACTAAATGGGAGAAACAGACTGGCCAAATCCAAGTCACCTACCTGAACAAGAAAAAAATAGCTAGCCTTTTGGATCTGTTAGGCTGACAGGCAGGAGAGAATCTGCCCACAGCCAGCATTTCTGTCAAGATCCCCTGCTTTCTTCAGAGGTATGGGCAAGGCTCTATTTCATAAGATGGATGTGAATTTTAGCAGGAAAATATCCAAATCAGTATAGTGAGGTAAATAAGTACATCACATACCCCAAGCCTCATAAGAAAGCAGGCCTTGAGCACAAGCTGTGGGAGAGTTAGTCTGCAGATCCCGGATGCTGGACATACATGCCTGATAGAGGTATTTTTGTTTTGAATCTTTTATTTGCCAATGACTTCATTTTAAATTCAAATTTAAAGTTCCCAGTGGTCAGGTTATCTTTTTTTTTTGGTATACTGTTAAACAACGTTTGCTCAAGGCTTGCAAACAAAAAGAGTACTTTGACCTGCCAGGAATTGAAAGAAAGACACTGGAGTCCCATCTCTGTGGGTTTTCCAGACCCATAACAGGAATTTGGAGTCCAAGAAGACAAGATGGTTGTCCCAAGCGGTCAAGCTACATCTTTTCTTAAATTACAGCTGAACCACAAAGCTACTCCACAGGGTGAACAATTGGAAAGTTTTTCCAGTTGTTCTCATCTCCTTCCTTCACATGTGCTTGATGAGACTCTGCAAGCATCCACACCTGGGAGCATTTTCATTAATGCTTTTATTAACTATCATCCATTTTCTTCCTGGGTGACCACACTTACAACTTGATCTGCGCATCATTAGAATTCCAGTTGCTGCTACAAATGGTCATTCATTTAATATATACTTTTTGAGTGCCTACCAAATGCCATAGCCCAGGGGACAAGAACTAATTAGACCTGACCCTTTCCTGGAGACTATCTGAGGTGGAAGCTAGACTGGCAAAGGAGAACTAGAATTCAGGGTGGTAAGAGCTCTAAAGGGGTTGATCACAGGGCACCACAGGAGTGCACGCCAAAGGTGTCACTACTCCAGCCTGGGAAGCTGAGGCAAGTAGCGTAGGCTGGGGCAGTGAGAGTGTGGATAGAGAATAAAGCAAACGTGGGAGAGGGTTTGGGGCCTAACTGCTTGACCCCTCAGCTACATGGATGTGGAGGACAATGATGCGGGAGGAGAAAGCACAGGGAGACACTGTTTGGGTTGTCTTGTAGATGGGCCCCCCCCATCACTGATGGGAGAATCAGGAGTTTGAGTCACTTACTGAAGTGGGACAGGGAAGAGAATGAGTTCAGGTAGAGACATATTTTTGTTGTTGTTGCTGGAAGATGTTCACGGACTTTCTATTTAAGATCATAAATCCCCAGAGTGCTGGGAGGGAGATTTATATTTCACAGTCATCAGAGTATACATGATCCACAAATGGATGAGTGCATTCAAAGTGACCACATCCAGTGAGACAAAAGTTCACCTTTAGACAGGACCAAAGGCACAACTACTGCCAGCAGGTGGGTTGGG